TCTGATGGCTCAGGAGTTTCCAAGAGGGTCATTGGTATGAATCTGTCTTGAAAGACTAAAAAAGCTGGATGTGCACAGGTTACATTACCAGTAATACATACACTTAACCAAAAAAGAGTGGAGCTTGTACATGTCAGCTGTCTTCCTCTTGTACTTTTATCTCATCTGGGCCCCAGAGGGGTGAACAGGGATGCTAGTTTCTGGGTTGAGTCTTTCCTCCTTACCTACCATTCCACATGTCAGCTGTCTCTGGAAATATCTTTACAGACACACTGAGAACTGTGCTTTACTGATCCCGGCATCTCTTCATCCACTCAAGATTAACCACTACAGATTTACTGCACCACAGTAACTACAGTTAGTGACAAGGTACAACCTAAAAAAAAAATGCTGAGAGCTTATTTCAAATGTTCTCATCACAAAGAACTACAAGGGTAGCATGTGTGTTCATGGCTTACTTAACCCTTCTGCTGTACCCACACATATAAAAACAAGTTATGTAAGGAAAATGCATATGACATTTATTTACCCATTAAAATAATTGTTTTGAAAATTAGTCTAAATTTAATCCTCCAAAATTATCCTTTGTTAGAGACAAAGAACACAAGTCATAGGCTTTCTCACACACTGGGGATTTTGTTGGCATTTATAGAGGAAAACAAGATCAGCTTCTAAGTTGCTTTCACCTTTATGTCTCTTCTGCTCTGTTGGCCTTTGCTTTTTTTCTAACAGAGACAAAATATTCAACAAATTGAGTAACAGACTTTGAGCAAGTGGTAATATTACAAATTTACATTAATTAAAAATGGACATTGTGCATAAATGCATATGCCAACATGATATGCAACACAGAGAAATTTGAATCTCCAATATCAAGCCACAAAACTCCTTATTGAATTTGAAGCCACTCAGTTTTCCTGAAAACCAAAGCCATAGCTTTTGAATATATTCCCTTGGGCCTCATTTTTATTTTTGCTAAGAAACTTCTTAGTTAGAAAAGTGATGTCTGAGTAACAGAACCTTATAGAAAGATGTCTCTACTTTTGACGTTGAATTTTCATCCCCAAGGAACTTGTTCGCTTGTGGATTATCTTCTAGTATATTTTTTTAGGCAGCAGAATCTGACACCTCAGGACTCTCAGGATCATGCTGCTAGCATTGTTCCTGAGCATCTCTGCCAAGTCCATGCCTTCCAGGCTGGCCTTCAATGCTCCTATCTTATATTAACTCAAATGAAACTTTCCAAACGCCTCAAAAATACAAGATATAGTATGAAACACTAAGGATAAAGATACAACAGTTTTACTGCCATATTTATTTAGGAAGCAGGGCTAACCTTTTCAGAGTTCTTATTCTAGATATCTCATGCCAATATCTCCCCTCTAGAAATTTATAATCTAACTAGGTAGCTAGACACACTTCGTTACCGAGTGATGCAAGGATAAAACAGTTTACCAGTTGAGTTATATGATTATTAAATGCTCAATAAATTCAGGAGAAATGGAAAACTCATAGTTGAACATTTAAAAGACCATTTTCCAACATCATTCACTAATTAATTTGAAGGAGTTTATCTGCCTGAAATAAATTATCTTTGTCATTTTTCCAACCGTGTCACAGAAACATGATCATTCCCCATTATTGTACCCTTTTTATTTATGTACATAGTGAATTTTTAAAGTTGTACTAACAAATGTTGTTTAACCCACTTACATGAGAAGAAACATCAGAGGGAGTCTGCAGCAACCAAAATCATTCACTGTGCAAAGCAACCATTCCTGAAGAGAGAGTTTTTCATTGTCAAGCACCGTGGCTCGTCTTAATGAACAGTTGTGTTGGACTGAGAAGATCATGGGAGATCATCAAAGAACAATTCTGGGTGTGTCTATGAGCATGTTTCCAGAAAGAATTCATTTGGGGTGTACAGGGGAACCTGCCTGATTATGGGCAGCACCAGCCAAGAATGTGGAGGGCAATTAGAGTTAAAGATGAAGGAGAGAGCCTATTAGCACAGGCCTTCCCTCCACTTTCTGACTGCTATGATGTGAGCAGCTATGTCCCACCATGCTTCCTGGAATGCTTGCTCCCTGATACCAGGAGCCAAAGTAAATATTTCCTCTCTAGTCAGCAACAAAATACTAACAGTACTCTGGGAAACATTATTGTGTCGCAATCATTTCCAGTAGCTGAAGTGATCTTTGTGCAGGTATCTGGTAAAAAGTAACAGCCATACTTCAAGCCAAATTATGACCAAGAGGCTTAGGCCCAGCTGAATTTGGCAAAAATAGGGAATTTCTTTCATTAGTAATGATTCTCAAGCATTCACATTTTCCAGTCATCTAAGAAGTTTGTACATAAGCAGATTCCTAAGTTCTAAGGGATCAACCCTGGCAGCTCAGAAACCATCCAGCTGAATCTGATGCAGGTGGCTCATAGAAGCATCCCTGACCTTCAAAAGGGGAAAGAAGTATGAGAGCAGGCAAGAGTGAGGAGTAACTCAACTCAGGAAAGGCCAATGTAGCACGTCTTTAATTTTAAAGACCCTCACAGACAAATTTCTCAAGATGAGAATATCAAGATCTGTAAGTTTCTCTTCAGTTTATCTGAAAGTTTATCTTTCAGTTCTACAGAAGGATACAAGAGAAGGCATTGGCCATTTGGCTAGTAGTCCCTTGGGTGTTTGGACTCTCCTTTGCTTTAGTTTTCCAGTTGTCTACTTGAATCATGTTCACTTACACTACTTACATTAGATGTGTGATGTGAGGGTCATTGTTATTTTTCTAACACCTACTGTACTGGCTAGTCTTTATGTCAATTTGACAACCCTCTAGTCTCCCCTCCTTCCAGGAATAAGCTACTATTCTACTCTGTTGCTATATATGTCACATAAGTGGAATCCTAGTACTTGTTTTGGTGTAATTGGTTTATTTCACTTGAAGTATTGTTCATATTGTAGCACAACAGAATACCCTTCCTCCTTCAGACTAAATGATATCATATATCATATTTTGCTCAATAATTCATCCACAGATGAACACATACATTCATGGAAAGGAATTTTCATATTTATTTCACTGACATATCCTTAGCACTTAGAAAAGTTCCTGGTTTGTATTCGGTGTTGAGATTATCTGCTAAACAAATGAACTGCTATAAATATTATAACAGTTAAATAATGTTCTTGATTAAAATTACAGGAACATAATATTCCCTTCCCAGTCTTAGGAGACAGTGGCTGGAGATTCATTTAATCATAAGTGACCAATGATTTAATCAATTATGCCCACATAATGTAACCTCCACAAAACCTTTAAAGAAAAATCCCAAGCAAGGTGGCAGTCATGATGTCCATCTGCTCTGGGTCACCTCTACCTTCACCATTTCTCTTCCCTCACGTTATCTTTCTAGTTCTTTCTTTTACTATCCTCGAGTACCTATTCAATTGACTTTCCCATGCTTTTTCCTAATCTTGTCTCTCAGACAAAGATCAATAGCCCACTGAAACATTTATGCAGCAATGCTGGATCAAGGCAGGGTAAATTGATTCTGTTCATAGTTCCTGAGCAAGTATACTGCACAGGCAACTGTGGCCACATTGAGGGCTGTCATACTTCATTCTCATCATCTGTCAATCCTTATCTAAGGCTTTACTTTCAGTGAAGGTTTTTAAATGCAGAGCATCACTCTAAGTGAAATCTGATGTAGTAAATAAAGTATTTACTCAAAGTGCTTAATTCAAGCAGTACCCAGTAGTAGATCTATTCTGAAGATAATACCCTCTGTAAGCTGTGATGAAGCTTAATTTCTACACTTATCTAAATTAAAGTTCCTTTAAAGAGTGTTTTAACCATACTTTTATAAACCAAAATGTGTCTGAAAGAAATCAGCTTCCATCTCAGGTCAAACAAAGTTGGGCACATTCAGGGTGGTTTGATGGCAGAGCAATTTGCAAAGCCTACAGTTAAAAGTGATTGAGGTACATTATTCAATTTTTTTTTGAAATTGCTTGCTGCTAGATTCTAGTGTATTTTGTTCAGGTCTAACTGGATTTTATAAACACCCAAGGATGAGGATTTATAATGCCAACACTGACAGAACAATGGCTCTGTTGGGCACAACCATTCATTCTTCAAACTGAATTTCTTATTTTCCCTCTTACTTTCTTAT